TATGGTGACATTGGTGATAGTAGTGACACACTTAAAATGTGGCAATATGAGCAAGCCAATGATTTGATCAGTTAGTGACCCACACTCTGAGGCTAACTTCAAATGTGATGAGCAATTGATTTCAGTCCAGGGTCTAATGACTGTGCAGATACAATTAGAGTTAGAGAGGTGCTCTCAGGCCTTATTGGCCACAGGCAAAACATGTCTAAATATACAAAGCAGAGGATTTTCAAAGCAACAACTGATTATAGATAAACCAAAGGAATGACTGCCAAAATAGCTATAAGTCTTTGAATTTTGAAAAAACTATTTTCTTACAAGCACAGAAATAAATATTTTGTTGGTGGTTTATAAAAAAAAAAAAAAAAAAAAAAAAAAAAAAGTTAGCAGATAATGGATTCAACCATTTTATGGTATGATCTGCTAGCTTTGTACATTTGGAAATTTACATATTTGCCTAAGTTAAAAAAAATAGTTCAAGTTTAGTTAGATTTGGGCGTGCTTTGGTGGCACCTGTGGTCACTTCCTGCATGTCTCTCCCCCTCTCTCATACCCCCTTTCCTGTCGGACTACTGTTCAAAACTCAAAAACTCAAAAAAAAAAAGTTTAGTTAGATTCAATGTTTTAAATAGAGTTTTTAATTCCTAAGTTATAAGTTCAACATTTTATTGAATTCTGCCATTTTTTGTAAGGGTATGCTTTGATATAAACTTTTCAGTTGTAGGTCTGACTAGTTATTTTTATTTGAGGCTTTCAATTGCTTTTATTCCAAGATTGTCCTGCATTTAGTTTAATTTATCCCCCCATGCTGCATTCCTGTCCTTGCTAAAGAAAAACAACCAATGCCATAAGGTAACAACAGTATCATACTTAATATGTTTGTTTATCATAATTTGAATTGTTAGTTTTTACAAACAGTATATGTTACCGGTACATGTAGGCTTAGTTTTGGTATTATCTAACCAGAGTGCCTTACTCCACATGTTCACCAAGGCCCATACCAATTGCTCTCCAGCTAAAAGATTTTCCTATCTAAGCTTTGGATCTCTGTAGCTCCTCCAGAGTTACCATTGCCCTCTAGACTTCTTCTCTGATTAATGTATTCTATACCTGGCCTGTTAGTTTAGCTGGCCATATGTTGGGAGGATCTGCACTTGGGCAATACCCTTTCTGTTTCTCAGATAATTCCCTGAGGAGGTTTTCTGCCAGATTTCAAAAACATATAAATCTATAACATTCCATGATGGAGCTTGGGTTTAAACTTATCCACATTATCTTGATCTCAGGTGTTTTTCTTGCTCTTTAAGATGCCGTTTGTTCACTTATGTCCTCTAATGTAACTCTTTTAGACCTAAGATTTTATTTCTGAAACTAAAATCCAAAAACCAACCCCCCGCTTCACAATTATGAACAACTTACAGTTGGTCAATCAAAGAAAACCCTAATAAATTGTATCCAATAAGATCAAGTTAGAAAAACCTATCATGAATAAATTACTATATTATTCAATACCATCTCTTTCTCTGTCCATTTTCTTTCTCTTCCCTCAGCAGAGCGGGGGCTGGTGAAATGAGCCTTTGCCTGAAACTGGGCTGGTGGGAAAATGGGAATGTGGTCATTAAGATTGGGCCTATATGATCTCCCAGCTAAAAATACACTGTTTACTTAAGACCACTGCCAAGAAATTCTGAACTACGCAGAAAGGGGAGAGGGTGGGAGGGGGAAAAAAGTCATGTTTTCAGACCAGAGGCAGAGGGGGTGTGTGACAGGAAGTCTGAGATTGTGAGTCAAGAAGTGTGTGCTGTCAGCAAGAAGTTTTATGATACAGAAAATAGACTTTTAGACTAAATACAGTCAGTCTAACTGCAAATGGTTATGATGATATTATAAAAAGTCTTATTGTATATACTACATAGCATAAACAGGACCAACAGGAAGTAAGATTAAAAACATACTGTTGTAACAGGCCCACACCTATGAATTCCATGCAAACACTTTTTAATGCAAAAAAAGACCACAAAACAAATGCAATCTTTTTTTTTTCAGGTATCTGTTTTCATCAGGTTGCAATTAGTACTCTGCAACGGCCAAGTCATAAGAAGCACATTTAGAGCAAGGTAAGTGATTTGAGGATTCGAGTAGTAAGGATGAAAGACAGATGTGAGAGAAAGTGAGGTTCTGAAATAGAGGATATGTGCTGGCTTCAATACGATCACATTAGCTTGTTTGCACTTTAGAACAAAACAAAGGACAGAAAGTCAGGTACAATTATTATTCCTAGTTATGCTTAAATGCAATCTGTTAGTTTCCTTAGACAATTTTTTTTAACCTAATTTGGATTTTAAAATTTACTGCATCTGACTATATTTGAAAATTTTGAATTGATAAACAGAAGATTTGAATCTTAAACTGGATCCCACATTACTGGACTGGTTTTAATCTAGAATGCAAAGGTTTCATGAACACTGGAGTGGGAAAGGATTTAACTGAACATACATGCATTGCACAAGAATGAAGGGGAATTTGAATCATTTAAATTTGGACAAGACTCTACTGGCTTTCGCATGACTGGATTACTTTGGTCTGGAATATCTGGAATGAACCTTTTTAGGGCAGTACTGATTTAGATGTCAGGGGATTGGGCCTGGAAGTAAGTTAGGCTAAAGAGATCAAAATTACACTAGATTGGGATTAGATTTAGACATTCCTAACTTTAACCGAATTGGGCTGAATTGAAGGTGATTAGATTGGAGTAAACTGGACAGTACTGAAAGAGTTTTGACCAAACTGAACAGAACTGGACTGGCCAGTGTTTGGGAAGGATTGGATAAGTCAGGCCTGGACAATATTGAATTTGACTAGATTGATCTAAACAGATCTGGATAAAACTGGATTGAGACAGGAAAACATATCTAACATATACTGTAAGCCATGCATTGAATTTGTTTTTATTTCAAGTAACTTTACTAGGAAACGTACACTAATTTAAAATAAGAATTGTTGGGGTATGAAAAATAATCTAAAAAAAAATCTAGAAATAAAACATTAATTAATTAAAGGTACGCTCTTGTTCTTATTTTGATTTTGGATTATTTGTTTTGAAAATGTAAGAAAAACAGCTATTTGTATGTACAGTTCAGTTCTGATATTTCAACCTTGAAAGTTCCCCTGATTGGCTCTATAAAAGTTAACGCTCATATAACCTGCCTTGCCTGTTAAGCAGGACTTCAATAATTAATGTGGCACCAGTTGTTGTATTAAAAGGTGCCCAACTATACCAGCGTAACATGTCGCATTCTTAATACAGCTCAACTTCAAGGTGTGTCCTCCAATTGGTCAGGTAATGACCAAGTGAAACCTTCTGTAATCTCTCATCTCCAATAGGTGTGATGATTACAGCTGAGCTTTTAACACACTCCCTTCAAAACCAGTTAATTACGCTTTCGCCCAAGGCTACTGCCACCACTCTAACAGTGACATGTACACGACCAAGCCTCACCCCCACAGGGAGTGCTAATGGGACAGGACTGAGTCACAAAGACTTCACTTCTTCCTTTTACATTTTTTCCCCTTCAAATCTCCAGACACAGCATGTCCTGTGTAACTGCAGCTACATTTCTCTCACCAAGCCACTTCCGGAGACAGCCTGATTTTTGTTGGCGGTTACTGCAGACCCTTGTTGGTTAATTTGTGGAGTAATCTAGTTTTACACACCATGCTCTATGACTCATTGCCTATAAGTAAGCAGTAGCTGTTATAGATGACAGATGGAGATAGGGTAAAGATGAGGACATGAGGAAAACTCAACTACATCACTGTCAGAAATCAGAGACAAAAATAATCTTCATCAACCCCTCCTTGAAATGCTCATTTTTTACCATTACAGAGTGCTGCTAAATAATTGGTACCTCTTGAACTTTTCAAGTTTTGCCTTGAAACAATGGGAATCTAATATTTTAATATTCTGTCATATATTCTGGGATATTGAATGTCCACCAATATCCCTAAATAAGTCTTAAATCTTTTACAGCTCTGTTGAATGATAAAAAAAGCAACCCCACAGCATGATGCTGTCACCACCATGTTCCCCAGTTGGGATGGTGTTATATATATATATATATATATATATATATATATATATATATGCAGCGTTAACTTTTTACTTTGCATGTTGGCTAGAAAGTTTATTTGGGTCTCATCTCAACCTAGCATCCACTTCAGTTTTTCATGATGCTTGTGGTAAAATTGACTATAGCTTTCTTTCAACCCCGTTTTATTTTTATTTTCTGACATGTGAACTACAAATAATTCAGATTTTTATAGATATTCCTTCCTGAGCTGTGGATCTCTGCATATTAATTTACAGGGGTGTTAGAATATAGATGGTTGGATATTAATACATACCACTCTTCTGATGTTTATTGATTCCTTCCAACTCACTTTAGAAGCATAAATGTGGAAAAAGCTGAAGGGGGGTTAGCCATGTCAATGGCACTATATTATTTGTCAAAAGATTTTCAATTCTTAAGATGATTGAAAGCATTATCATATATTTTCAAAATGACAAAGAACCAGAGAATGTGCCTCAAATATATTCAACATGTTCTTCATGAGATGCTATAGAGCACTGGTCTTAAACTCATGCCCTTGAGGCCTGGTGTCCTGAATATTTAGATAAGTTGTTTGCCCAACACATCTAAATCAAACAGGTAAATCGCCTCACAAGAAAGAATTCAAGCTTTCCAGAATTCAGCAGATGTGTCAGTCGGGTTTGTTGAAGCAGACGCACCTAAAAGTTTGCCGGACACCTGCCCTTGAGGATTACTGTTTGAGACCAATGGTATAGAGGAAGTGAAAAATGAACTACTGACAAATGGGGCTGGCTCTGGATAAATGAAGAAATCCCCTAGCAATCAGGGGAAGTATATAATTCAAAAGAGGAAACTATTACTTCTGATTTTTTTTTTTTTTTTTGGAAGAAGTTGTTTCCCTTTTCTTACCCGTTAGTTCCATTGGCTGCACAAGTAGGCTGAGAAACTATCGCCTCAGTTGGAGTCTGTCAAAAGAAGACAGAGAGACAACATGTAAATAAATAATGCAAAAGCAGTCATATTCTGTCCTTAGAAATATCCAAAGGTTGGAGGGATCCCCTCAGAGGCAATGCCAAGGCAGCTCATGCAGATGTTCCTGGCAGTCTAAGCATGTAGCTGCACTGTCCCTGTAATCCTTGGCTTGCACTTGCAAGGGGTATGCTTATGAAGAGAAAGATGGCATGAAATACAGGCTAATTAAGTTTAGAAGCTAAGAACAGAGGGGTCTTTTGTGCTACAGCTGCCTGTGCCCAAATCTTCACACCCCAGAATTCTTTAATTCAGACCGGTCATTTCTGTCTGAACATTTGGCTAAAAATAAACTCTTTGAAGGTGCAGAACAGAAACAGTTGCCTTAATGTTTTGATTGTAAATACCCTTACGCTAGATCTATATAAACGGCACTAATTAAAATAACTAGTAGCCACATTAAAGCAAGGTACCTATTCATTCTAAGCTGTTCTAAGTAAGCTTAGACATATAATCATCATATGAATAACAGTGTTCACACTGTCAGATATTGAAAAATAAACTTTGTTTGAAAAATGAACCTCCTAGTTCTAATTCTCCTTCCCTAAGCAGAAGATCGAAGATGGGTTTCCTTTCACAGTGATTCAGCTCCTGGAGTTTCAACCTGACCTTGGAAAACCCCGTCAGAGATCAGAGCCTGCCAGTGTGCAGTTTGGACCGAGGCCCTGGTGTGCAAAGAAACGCAGTGTGTCCCCGCGGCCACACTTGTTGTCTCTGCAAACCAAAGCCTTGAGCCAGCTCCTGCGGTTGCCACGGCCCAACCCAGGCCTACCTGAAACATAATCCAGGTCAGCTCTGGGCCCCCTAACGGCTCACACACCACACTTTACTACTGGGCAAACTGTCCTAAGTTTAGCTATTTAACCACATAAACCTACTACTGCTTGTCCTGGGCGCTTCAAAAATAACAAAGTAAATATATTCTGCAATTTTAAAGGCTTATATTAAATCTGTGAATGCTTTTAGGGCAGATGGATTCTGGGTTCAATGCTGAATAGGGTTTTAATAACTGCATTTCATTAATGTTTAACCCAAAGGAGGTGCCTAATTTCAAACCAGACAAGCAAGAATAACTGAACACCATTAGTAACTTATGAATGGAAGATACTATGTAATTCTCTATCCCTTCTTGCTGCCATACAGTAAAACTAGTCAGCCAAGCCAACAGCCTCAGAGAACAAAACTCAATAAGGGGAACAAAAAACAAACAAATCAAACTTAATAACATCAGGGACAGACAAAGTGCAATTTCAGAATGTGGACAAATTAGGTCATCAATAATCGAGTGGCTAAGGACAGTAATGTTTGAGCCAGACTTTAGAAAAGAAATAGAAAACAAAGCTGCCCAACAGAGTTAATGTGTTGTGGAATGAAGAACAAAGATAGCGTGCGATGCTGAGGCTTTTTAAATGAAAAAAAATTCCCTTTTGGACGGGCAGAGGATGAATCACTCCAGACTAGAGCAAAGCGTAAAGGAAAAGAGGGAATGATGCCCTGATGGGTTCCTTTCGTGGCTTACTTCCGCTCCTGCTTTCCACAGTCTACTCTCTTGCTCTCTTTCTCTTTCCCTTTAGCTCTCCTGGGAGGCTGAATAACCAGGAGGAAATGCTTGGGCTCTGCTTGTGTCGGCCTGAAGACCAGATGTGTGGCCTGGAGGTGGTGAGGCAGAGACGCAACGGAAACCAAACATAAACCAGCGTACCATGACAACTCTGAAGGCAGAGGGCAGTCTTGATGGCTAACGGGATCTAGTCTCTCCCTTTCCAATGCTGGTCTATACCAAGAACAAGATGTGTAGTGGGGTTCCAATCCACACGCCTATCTGCCAAGGGCAACACACTGAGCAGTCATAGTTTATTGGTAGATGTGACTAAACTTGAAAAAGAACTGAGCAAAGAAGCTTCAAACATGGAAAGAAAGTGAATGATATAGAACACGTCCAAAACCTAGTGCAGAGCAGTCCAACAGCGGAAGCATTCAGCTCAGTGGGACTGTTTGGGCAGCTGCTAAGGAGTTGTTTCTTTGAATGAGGACTGTAAACAAGAAGAGGAAAGGCTGTGACATGGCCCTCTACTCTTGCGGACCAAAAACTTCTCATGCGTCAGCTCTGACTCATAGCTCCATTCCAGAAACTGAAGAAAATTGGCATCTAAGCCTTTGGTGTTGGGAATGCCAGTAAGGGTATTGAAAGTCTTTAGGGGAGAGACTCCACCAGCTTTGTAGGTTACTGTGGTAAATCCTGGAGGACGGCCTACGAAACTGCCTGTTTTAGTGTTGTGAACGGCTAAGAAGAAACAAACCCTAATCATTAAGAAGGTTACAATAAACAACAACCCAAAGTTAAATGTGTACATAATTTGATCACTAGATGAGACAGTATACGTTTTGGCCATTTCAGAAAATTTCCCCCTATTAGCCCCACTGCTTTACTACATCATGTTGACCACACATGTGCTCTTTTGTTGCAGAATTGGAACAACAGCTAAAGATTTGTGACAGCATGTCAAACAACAACTCTTAATTTTACACTAATCTATAGAGATGAATGACACACCTTTAGACACATTAAAACTGAAAGTAAAGCCAACAGCCTCACATACCTTCTTATTAATTTGGCAAGGAACTATTGGGTGACTTGAGAGAACTTAAAATTTATCAACATTTCAAGCAGTCAAATACTAAAACAATTATGATAATGGTGATAACAAATGTAACTGAAGAAGCAACAAAACACTAGATTTTGCACCACTAAACACTTTTTCACAAAGAGACCACGTTAAAAGTGGCACACTTGGAGCATAGAGTTTTTTTCCCATGGTAAATCAGGGAACTAATATTACAGCAGCAAAAGCTTTGGATGACTGAGCTCCTTATGAGTAAATCTTGAGAAATCCCTTCTAGATCTACCCAACTCACTGTCAACACTAGTAAAAGACAATCAAGCTCAATAATGTCAAATAGCATACTGCCTTAGAGAAGATATCTAACTATTAGCAGAGCAGATCTGCACAAAGAGCTACAATGTTTACCACAAACCAGTTACACAAAATCAAGAGGAAACAAGGTTTATTTAAATAAATCAAATTATCGAAAGTATCAAAAATTCAATAATGAGTAACTCTATTACAACTCAACATATTTATCAAAAGCTTTGCCTTCTGCAAGAAACTGTTCAATGCTTTTAATTGCTTGAATAAAGGCTTAGCTTAGTTTCTAAAACTGTCCTTTCCATTAGGATGTAATCTGATAAACTGAAAAAGTCACAAGTCAGAAAGATAGAGCTCATGGAGGGGTCTGAAATTGGCATTAAAGGTGCATGTCCTCTGTGATAGGCATTGTCTAAAAAAATATCTGGAGATCACAATGTGTTATTTTTTTCAAACTATTTATTTGTATGATAGAGCTGCAGATACGTATTTGAACACCTGAGAAAATCAGTTAATATTTGGTACAGTAGCCTTTGTTTAAAATTCCAGAGGTCATATTTTTCTGTGGTTTTTCACCAGGCTTGCACACAATGCAGGAGGGATTTTGGCCCACTCCTCCAAAAAGATCTTCTCTAGATCAGTCAGGTTTCTGGGCTGTTGCTGAGAAACACAAAGTTTGAGCTCCCTCCCTAGGTCTGGAGACTGGCTAGGCCACACCAGAACCTGGATATGCTTCTTCTGAGCCTGTATGCTTAAGGTCATTGTCATGTTGGAAGATAAATCCTCGACCCTTCTTCAATGCTCTAATTGAGAGAAGGTTGTTCCCAAAAATCTTACAATATATGGCCCCGATAATCCTCTCCTCAATACAGTGCATTCACCCTGTCCCATATGCCGCCAAAGCATGATGCTACCACCCCCATGCTTCACCTTTTTTTCACCAAGCTGCTTGGCAATTTCCCCACAGCCCTTTCCAGCCTTGTGGACATGTACAATTTTTTCTCTAGTGTCTTTGGACATCTCTTTGTTCTTGGCCATGTTAGTAGTTGGATTCTTACTGATTGTATGGGGTGGACAGGTGTCTTTATGCAGCTAGCAGCCAAAAACAGGTGCATCTAATTCAGGATAATAAATGGAGCGGAGGTGGACACTTTGATGGCACACTAACAGGTCTTTAAGGGTCAGATTTCTAGCTTATAGACAGGTGTTAAAATGCTTATTTGTAGCTGTATAATACAAATAAAAAGTTTTAAAAAATCATACATTATGATTTCTGGATTTTTTTTAGATGCATGGAAATGCACCTATGATTACATTTTCAGACCCCTCCATGATTTTTCCTCACTGTACAACATTAAGGTTAAAGTTTTAGGTAACCGGCTAATAGAAAAATATATATATGAACATTTCTGACCACAGGGATGTAACAAGAAAAAGTCAAGACAAAAGGTCTTTTTTTCACTATAGGGACATATCTTCTACCTGCAAAAAGAATAACAGATATACGAATGTCTTTTGTCTTAATTTTTACCGAACAAAACTCAGATTAATCTGTCAACAGGATTTCATAAAATTCCATATGTTTTACATGCTTATTGAGGCACATTTATTAAATAGTTTCTTCATATAACAGGATTACTGTGAAACCTTTACCATCATAATGAAACAAAACTGCTGTGTAATTTGAAACCCAACTTTTTTGACTGCTCATGTTTAATCAAAATGTAGAAGTTATTAATTTCATGGAACTATCCATTAATGGAGGATGTAAACTCTATTTTGAGGGTTGCACAAGTACAACAACATAAAGAAAGTATGCCTATTATTAAACATGATATACTCAATTATCAGAGAACAAAAATGTGTTTAATATTACCTAATCAGTAAACGATCGCCTCAAAGTTAAAAGATATGGTGTTTATTCTTTATCTGTAATGACAAAGAACCAGGTTGTGGTGTCTGCACTACATTTAGCAAAATATTTCTTTCTTATTAGACTCAAAAATCTGATTAAGGCTACTCAGCTAATAGCTCCTGTTCTCAGCCACCCAGACTACAATCCAACAAACATTGAACCATTGCTCTTCTGAGGAGCAAAGGTTGCATTTTAATGGGAGAGGTGGGAAATAGACTGACAAAGTATCGGTGAGGATTGGCATCGGATCTCCACTGAGACACGCTGCAAAAAACTGGTATTGATTCGAGAAACGGGGCACAGTTGGGTTTCTTCTGGCTAAGGATCGGCCAGATGGCACAATATATGAAAGGCAAAATGAGCTACATGGCAACACCTTACCAAGCAACAGATGTTGCTCTTATCTACGGGTTGCTGGTGCAGTTAAGGCTTCTGCTGTGCCAATAACGGTGTAAACTTATCTGCCCAAAAACGTATTCATGCAAATATCTGTAGAGTGGTGCTGGTTGGTTGCAACCACACAAAGAGGTCAATAAACAGAAAAGCAGGATATGCAAGTTGTTAATCAAAGCAGTACTGAGGACTTGTCATCACTAAATACAGTACTAACAGTATGTCCACAATGTAATTAAATATAGATTTAGAGAAATTATTTATCCTGTAGTGACATACAGTAATATATTTTTAAAACAGAGTGAAAAGAATAACAGAAATCCTGAAATTGAGGGTGGACTTTTCTAAAAAAAAAAAAAAAAAAAAAAAAACATAAAGAGATACATACAGAAAGAGCCAACCTCA